ATATTACCGTGAGACTTTTCCTATTTGACTGATTGGATATCAATAGTGGATAATCAAATAGTTTTCATCAAATAGTATGCGTACAATGTTATTCATGTAGATATACCACAAAAATATATTCTTAAAATATCACAACACCTTTCTGTAACATGTATGTTGATTCGTATTCTAAACGAAAAGTAGGCTTGAATCTAAAAGTAAGTGACTTTTTGCAGACAAAATTTATAAAAATGAATGTTACGTGTTGCCACGAAACACATTTTGCATTTAAAGCAAAATGTTGGGCAGTAAATCATTCCCTGAGGCTTTGTACAATCGCTGCATTAATATATAATAGCATGAAGCCGTTACTTAATCGGATTAATGTAACCACAGGCCCGTAATGAATTGAATGGTTTATTGCAAAGGCGTGCCAAAAGTTAAAAGGTCTTTATAACAGATTTTAAAGAGCTTTGTGGACATCTTTTAAAGCAATAGAAATTACATATTATAAACTAAAGAAAACTACAAAACCATACAATTACAACACTGGCAAATAGGTGTATTCCATATTAGTCTATTGAATCTCTTATAGGATTAGAGAATTATAGCTGCCAAGGCCGTCCTAAGGTAGGATGGGGGCTGTAGGCACAAAGGTCTTAGGGCTCTATGGGGAAGTACAAAGCAGAAACAGTAAAAGACATTTGGTCTGTCGTGTTTTTTGTTTACTACGATTATTGGATACTAATCAATCAAGCATTTAGAAAGAGTATCTCCATTTGAATAACATATTAATATTTTTTTTATTAAGGAAAGTAGGATTAATTCTTATTTGATTAATAGGTTATAGAAGTTTCGGAATTTTTAATGAGCCAAATCTTCTGTTATATTATCAAAGGTTATTTGTTTTTTATTTCCTCGACTTCATGGGGCACTTTGTTCACTTTGAAGACCTTCCTTAGCTCGGAGTCCCTAGGTAGGTGTTTTGCGTGCTTTCATATATCTTATAACAATATATCTCGTTATAGCCCCTTAATCGCTACTTATGGCGCTATACTCGTATTCTTGGTCTCTGATGTAATACGGATTCCTTTTTACGCAGTTATCTTGCATCTTTTATATTAAGCTTTCTATACCTACGGGTTTAAATTGGCTTAACGCTTTAAGTACTCCGCGGTTTGTGACCGCAGTATGCGTGTAATGTTATAACTTCACGATTAACTTTGCCCAAAAGGCGCTCTCGTCGGAGTAAAACACGTATGTTAACCCAGAAACATATTAAGTATTATGTTTATTAATCTCGTTGGGTTTATTAAGGTTTAAACAACTGATATATAAGTATTTTATTTGTCGTTTGTTTTTACAAGTAAGTAAGTAAGTTCGTGGCCTCGGAAACGATTTTTAGTAGTATCTTAAAACTGGATGATGTTTTCTACTATTGTAAGTACCGATTTTTTAAATTCCTGCTTGACGTCGTAGTACTTCGCTATATATCATCGAAATATGTCATTGGAGTGTGATGAACATATTTAAATATCTTATTTCAATTAGGTTCGTTCTTTAGATATTATATTTTTTACTTTTTTTATAAAAATGTCCTAAAAAAAAGTATCATCATCATCAAAGGTGTTTAATATAATAACTGCTTTTGAATCATTAATCCTCGGATCAATTTAATATAGAATTACTAATAACTAACAAAATTATCGGAATCCTACACAAAAGTCATAAAACAGGAAATTGAGTAATCGTATTTAAACAATTTTAACCCCAGTGGTTATAATTACAATATTTACCCTAAAAGTTTTCGCCGAACGAGAAAGTTTCGACAAAATGGGAATTTTTCGTTAATTTGTTAAAAAGCTCGTCGCTGTTTACTTGTAAATTTTATTCGCATATTTTGTTACATAAAAAATCTGGTTAAGCGATAAAACCTGTAGTGGTGTATTAATTATATCAGATATACAGCCGCATACGAACACATTTATTAATTAGTATGAGGAATCGCGAGCTAAAAATGTTTATATAGTAGAGGATGAACGAGAGAAGATAGAATAAGAATAGGCTTTGCCTATAAAGGATAACAGACCGTCATGTAAGTTTTTGTCACCATTTATAATGATCCATGACAGTATGAACTTGTCTTTCATAGAAGACGCTTTAATTGTCTTATAGGCTGTAATCTTGATTATTATTATTTATGATGTCCATAGGCTGTAGTTATAGTGGCCGTAGGATTATCCTTTAGAATAGTCGAACCTTTTTCCGCTTAATAAAGCAAATAGAGGGAGGAAAAACGTTAAAAAAAACATCAACCTACTTTATTTCAATCTACCCGAGAGATATAATATGTAAGTATATAATGCAGAAAATATCGTACATCGGCATGAGAATTGCTAGCATTATACTAGGTACCTTATGGCCATTGTTAGCTCATAGCGGGCGATATCGACAGCTTAAGCCTCACGATAACCATTGCTATAACCGTAGAAGTTAACTAAGGGGCAAAGCTATCACACACAACTCGGTACACAGGTAATATTGACGGTGTTAGTGTCTTAAAGGATATCTCGAAAATCGTGAAAGATGCTTTACATAATATTCTAGTGAATGCCTTTAAACGGTTTGATATTAAGGGTCATGCAATTCGAAAGTGGCTAATCAACGCTTTTAGTGACAAGTTTCTCAAGCCAATGGAATAGCATACAATAGTTACGGGGGCGACGGGGCTTTAGTAAAGTAGTGAGTTATTATTTACGCGATGGATGCTATTAGGATGGGGCCCGGTATTCACCAAAGCAGAAAGGAATAAGACGAGAGGAGATGTGTTTTCTTACTTCATTTAGCTTCGGTGGAAATGGATCAATCGGGGAGCAGAGGAGACGTCGCATTTTTCTATAGAATTTTGTACCGCGAGCGAGCAAGCGGCGCGGCAGAGCAGAGATGTGTGTAGTTGGCGGCCGGGCGGGGTACCGCGCTCTTAATGCATTCATATTTTTAACCCCTGACGCAAAAGCGACGGGGTGTTAAAGTTTGACGTGTCTGTGTGTGTCTGTTTCTGGCATCGTAGTCCCCGAACGGATGAACTGATTTAATAATTATAATTATTCGAGAGTATATTACTCTCGAATAATTGTAATTATTAAATCGCTTTATTAAATCGGTTAAGATTTAATTTCTGTTTCTACAGCAATGGTATAAAATACTAAATGTTAGTTTTCTAGGAACGCGTTTATCTACCAAAAAGAACTATAGAGGGGTAAAGATGCTGCAATATAATTGTTTTGATACCTATTTGCATGAAAGCAATGCTGAGCCGAGAGTGTGCTCTAGTTTGTCAGTATATTCTGTTCAAATTTGTTTTAGTTTACTCTCGTCTCCTCGACCGCTAAAAATATGTGTTTATTTGTTTTGTCTCAACCCTTAAATATTCACACTTAACCCAAGGAGTTGAGATGAAATTTCAAAAAAAGGACTGGCATACCTCGTCCACATTCAACCCCTAATTCTGTAAGTATAAAAATTCTGAAATTGATTTAAAAAAATCGAGCAATATTAGAGAAAAACTACGTATTATTATATTATTATTTATGATCTGCCATAACTTTTCTCTTATACCATACTTTACTCTTTACTCTTTGAGTTTCAGAGCTTCAAGGCTATGAAAATACACAAATAATAATTAAAGCTTGCTTGTTCGTACAATCAGAAAAAAAAAATATCATAATGAATGTCATCCTCCGTCTATCAATGAAAAGGGGTCGTCTATACTCGCATACATGCATTTTATGTACATATTTATAAGTCATCAAACATAAAGTAGTATCCATAATGTTTGTATTTGTGGTCCTATTTGGTTTTTTTACAGGCAGACAGCCTGTGCTATTTTATATTCGTTTGCGCTACGGATTAAATGGGTTTACAATAGTTCCTACTCTTCCAATTAAACTTTTAATTTGTTCTCGTAAGTCAAATTGTGGGATTTGCCGCGAACTTTCTAATACTCGATGTATTTAAGAGGTAGTAAGTACGTGTGGTGACGGAATCAGAACACGGAGTGTCGCCACCCCTTTACACCCCGTGGGTGTCGTAAGAGCCGACTAAGGCAAACTCTGCAAAATATCGGCACTGCAAAGAGAAGGAAAACTTGAAATAAACCAGCCAGCCAGCTAGCGTGGTGTAGTAAGTCAAAACCTCATTCCTAAGGAGAGGCCTATGTCCAGCAGTGGACTATTAAAGGCTGGTGATCAAGTAGTATGTAAGCAAATGTTTTTATATAAGTTTCGGTGGTCTTAGCGCTGTAAATAAAACTGTTACACAATTTATGTTATCATGCAATGTTTATGTTCAATTCAAAGGGAAAAATACATGTGGAACACTGAATATTAGTTTCAGCCAAGTGCAAAACTTTATGTATGAAAACCTGAACGCTTACGTGTTTTGTTCTAGATTACTATGAAGCTAAGCTAAGAAATTCAAAGACAACGTTGTGTAGTGTTTAGAAATATGAACATCTTATAAAATAAAGAAACTGATAAAATCATGATTTTTATGCAAGAGATAATATAATATAATACACACTATTTTTTTCATTTCTACCTGTAACTGGAACTAGTACTAACAAATATTAGAAGGAACATGGTACTATTTGGCATTCTTTATCGATTATACAAAACGATTCCATGGTCACATCATAATAATGGTCTATCAGAAATAAAAAGATGATTACCTAATCTGGCAGAAGGATCCTCTCTATATGTTTGAGGCACCACGTCCGTTCATAGACTAAGCTCATTGCCATCTATATAGAATCAACTTTACAAGTAGAACAATATAACGTACGTATGTAGTGTATTATCCATGCGCATAAAATTTTGATCATGTATGGGAGACATATAACCCTTGGGTCTATTTATTCTTGGTCTATTTATCCGGGCGAAGTAACTTTTGCCCATGATAAATTCATTGTCCTATTTATTCTCCAAATCGTTGCTTGCTACAATGACGGCGTATACACTCACCTTTTCTCCACTATCAGAAGGTAGATAAAACGTGAGCACAGTGAGGAAAGATATGCCCATGCAGGGGATGATGATGTTTACTGTGTAGAACAAGGTCTTCCGCCGCATCGTAATGTTGAAAGTGATGTCCAGGTAAGGCTCGTCACAGCACGTGTAGAATTTTTCGTTCCTGTGTAAGTAAATAAACAATAAATACAAGTTTGCTTTTAAAATAATTTATGAAAAAAGTAAGTTGTTACTATAAAAACTGGTAACATCGTATCTTTTAATGCTATCAATTAGAAACTGTGGCAAGAGACTTTGCATTGAACTGTTCAGAAAGTAACAAGGTTAAGGTTTGGCAAATACCGGCCTTTAAAAAAACAAGTGTGGTACATAAGCAGTAAGCTTATTTGTAACATGTCATGTATCACTTTTTTATGGCCCAAAAATATTTCCTGTAAAGGTGTCAGGTTTGAAATTATACATTCCATTTCAGACACAATAACAAAAACATATGTGACAGTCAAAACTAAACCAGATATCCAAGATCAGTGTTGCCCTTGGTGCTGAGGTTGCAGTCGTTCCCCCCTTGATAAATCGCCTCTATTCGTTCCGAAAGTAATTCGGCATCTTCGAAATAAACACTAAATAAAACCGGATATTTTTAATAAATATATCAATAACGTACTATTTAGTTTACTGGTATAGATTCTGTGCTATATAACAAACATTTTGCAAAGGTCCTCATCAATATTTATTAAACCAGTTCGGTTTCGGTTAGAATATCTCAAAGTCAATAAGCGAGCAGCTGCAGAATCAGTTATAAAGGTTTCAGAGTAAAGTTGAAAAGTTAAATATACATAACGACAGTTTCGTCTTTCAGTCAGGGTTGAACTTTTATAGAACGTAAATGATCACAACTTAAAATATCTTCTGTTTTAGCGAACATTGAAACTCTGAAATATTATAAAACAGAATGCCGAAAATAAATGCAAAGGTATATGAGAACACAACGTTGTCTAACGTAATCGAATATATTTCATAAAATTCAAAACTGCTACTAAAACGAACAAACATACCATAACGGCACACATGTAATATAGGAAATAAATGTCAGTCAAGCAGTTTTGACATTTGTCATTGTTATAACTAAAACAAGAAGGCGGTAAAAAGGAATTTCAATTTGCCAGTCTAACAGTATTATTAACAGTTTTAATTGTGTCTGTTAGACAAAATCTGTTTTGTTTTAATTAAAAACAAAATATTTTTAAACCTTAAGTCGTCGTGTTACGTTTCTTTTTATTAAAATTCTGTATTACTTTGGCTAAACAAAATTATACTTTTTTTTTGGTGACGGACTCTGTGCAGCGCCCTAGATTATAGTTTAATATAACGTTCTAATGTGTATCTTTCTGACAGAAACCCAGAGAGCTGACAGAAAAGAATTCTTTTAGAATACTAAAATGCGTCGTCTGACCTTCACTATCTCGTGAATCCTGTAAATCGTGACTCCTTCAGAGGAATTCGTACTTGAAAACTTGCAGAGCTCGGTAAACGCAGTCTAGAGAGTAATTTCATCACTAGAAAAAAACTCAATTCAAATATTAATACTGTACAGCGTTGAGTTGTAGAACCTAAGCTTATCATATAAATATCTAACTGTGTTTGGAAGAAAAGATTGGCCCTGATGCGATCGATACGGTCATGAGTACCTACTGAATTTGTTGATTAGAAGGAAGAGTGATTACGTGAACAATCTCCTGTTACTACAGGAGATTGTAATATACTACATAGTTCACGTGCCTTGCGGTGCTTTAAACAGGAACTCTCCCAAAAAAGAACATTGCGCTAAAATACCTTCGAGCGCTTTCGGAGCAAGCGATGTCAATCTTTTGATAATTAATAAGGTAATGCCCTGGGCATTCTCTACCAGCCTACCTTTGGGTGGTGTAGAATTCTGGTGAGGTAGGTGCACTGAGGTTTAGTTTTAATTAAAATATACAATTACATACATAAATACACAGATTTTTGAGTTTAAGAAGGAAAGCCAAAAACTAGCTAAAAATAATTGTCAGATTCCCTAATAGCTTAAAATTAAACTAGTTTTTGCAGTCTTGAATACAATTATTGTTTGTCAGTGATATTTTGGTGAAAATAGCATTATATTATATTACCTCTCTAGAAGTCTATGTTGGAAAGTCTAGGTCCATGCGTAAGAAGTTGCGGGCATACTACTAATTTACTTACTGAACTTAATAACCCAAATTACTTAATAAATTAATAAAGTCATTCATAATTTCCAGAACAGGAATTTGTATACTTAAGATTATTGTAATAATAGCTTTATTGTAATAATAGACTATTGTAATAATAACTAATACATTTATGGTCAAAATGTATGTTATATAATAAACAAAGGTGCGACAGGTATACATTCTGTCAAGAGAGTACAATCATCGATCACTTTAAAAGCCCTCTTAAAGAGATTCCTTTTGTCGCTAAGTAGGCACTTATTCACACGGAGTTTGAGTACCACCAGCCATTTTATTTATTTCATCTCTAGCGTGACTTGCATTTTTTACTAAAAGTATTGAACAAAGAATCTCACTTTAAATTTCTATTGCAAATGGAGTTTCTCATCCCTTAGCACTGAAAATATTTCAAAAAGCTGTAGGTTAGCATCTATATCAAAAACACGCGCGTATGAGTGGTAGAGTGCATTTTAAAACCGTCGAGATATGGATCTGGTCAATCATAAACAAAAATAGCCACAGAAATCTCTTTTAAGTCTCTGAAGGCAGAAGAGTACGAAATTTCTGTGTCATTTTAAATATAGTTTAAAAGTGAAATTATGTTATCGCTCGACTAGTGTTGATATAGCTGAATATTCTGCAAAAGTCTATCGACTAAAACTCTGAAAACTTTATAGAACGAGTCAATTACGATCTCACACATTGATATGGCGCCGTCTTCGTTTTCCAAATGCTAAATGACCACTTCGAAGCCGAGGTTTATCTCAAAAAATACGCTTCCAAAATATTTGGATGCTTGAGTTACATATGGTATACACATTGGAGTAAGTATATTATTTAGGAACGATTCCACTTTGAAGGTGATACAACAAATTTGGACGAATATTGAATTGATTAATTCACGATATAGTTCTTTTGAATTAATATATCATTAAATACCATGTTAAATATTATAATTTAGTGATTTGGGTATCATATAAAAAATTGTATTCAACAATCAAAGTATTTATTCATTCACATATGTATTTATAGTGCAGAAGATATTCGCATATGGAATTTTACGGATAGCCGGAAAAATCGGATATCCACAAATGTCAACAGGCCCAACTCGTTGCGGCTCTCGGACAAATCATATTATTATAAAAATAACATTTATAAAAATAACATTAAATTTATTAAATTTCCGTGGATTTAAAAAATCGAAACATTCTCCTTCTTATCCATACTTTTGAATAAATATTTCATTTTGAAAATCTTCGTCTTTTCTACAGTGCGTACATGAGACGAAGAAGAAAGAAGAAAAACATGAAAAGTTATAGTTTTTTAATGTCTAGTTAGCTATTACTGTACTGAACTGTTAAAGACAACTAAGTAATATATTTTAGATTGGACCATTGTTTGGTTTGTAAATGCGAAATTGAAAAGCTAAGGAAGGGTGGCAATATACCCGTAAGTAATCAGAATATATTATTATGTTCAGAATGTCAGATAGTTTAAAAAATATATATTATGTAATTGTATGTATAATTCATAATAATTAAATCTTTAAATTGTAGAATTATCCATTTCCAAATTACAAATCCGACTCAATAACGTAGTAGGTAGTGTTTGGTAAGTGATCACCGCTGTAAATAACTCCAGCATACCATAGCTTTAGATTATTGGAGTGGTATACCGTTCTTCCATATTTTTTTATATTCTTAAAACAAATGGAAAACTGAAAAGAGTCCTGAGCCTTCTTATCAGTAAAGAAACAGAGCCTAAAACTCTCTTCAAAACGACAGAACCGCATGATTAAATAAAGATTTATTTATTCGCAGGATGGCTTGTAATACGGGTCGGCAAATTGCTTGCGATAGAAGTGAGTTCCCATAAATAGTTTCGAGGCTATCTCTCGATTGTGTTGCCCACGCCAATTATATTTATAGACCCTGTATGCTCGCAGCTCAGCTGAAGCTAAACTAAAATCCAGTAGATAACTGCTTGATATTATTTTGCGTCGTTTTCTCATGATTTTTTCTGGCTCATAACGAGTAAACTGTACTAATATTATACAACATTAGAGTTGGTTTGGGTGTTTAATTAAACGCGCTAATCTCAGGAACTACTGGCTAAAATATAAAATTCTTTTAGTCTTGGAGAGGATCAAAAATCTATCCTTGGTCATTGATCTATACACCTATCAAGGATGGCTATAAGCTAAATAACATCATGTTATGACCAATAGCAGCCGAGCATCAATGCAAAATGTTGCAAAAACAGGGAAAATATTAATATTCTCTTTGAGAGATGCAGACGAATACGCTTGGCAGCTAGTTATTGATATGCGTGTATAAAGTAAGTCATATGCATAATTATTTTATATAGTTCTCGTAAAAGAATAATGAAATTTAATTGTGTTAACTATTCTCTAGTTTCTTAGACAGGCAAATAAACACAAACCATTTTTTACAAAAAGTCGTGAGACTAAAAAAACTTAAAATTTTATATTGCTCTCATAACAAGAAACTTATTTAAATAAATTTATGTGAAATTGAGATGTTGACAATTATGTTAAACAATATTTTATGAGTTATTCATATAAGAAATGTATAAAACCAATTTCAGAGAGTACCTCGTAAAAAGTTTTGATGGAATACGAAAATAAAATTTATATAGCTTCAAGAGAAACCATTTTATATGGAAAAGCGCAGTTTGTCACGACGATTTGGCTATTCCGCAATCAAACGAAGGGTTACATTCCATTCGCATACTGTTTATGGTTTTCACGGACGTAAAATAGGAATGTTTTGTAACAGTAGTCCTAAAACGAAATGTACAAAACTACTTAACTATTACAATCAAAAGCTGATGAATTGAATTCTCTTTCTCTTTTAAATAGACAACTCCTGCATTAGGAATATATTATTATGTGTCGCAGGGGCTTCACAAACAT